ATTCTTTTTTTTTTTTTTTTTGCGGTACGCGGGCCTCTCACTGTTGTGGCCTCTCCCGTTGCGGAGCACAGGCTCCGGACGCGCAGGCTCAGCGGCCATGGCTCACGGGCCCAGCCGCTCCGCGGCATGTGGGATCTTCCCGGACCGGGGCACGAACCCGTGTCCCCTGCATCGGCAGGCGGACTCTCAACCACTGCGCCACCAGGGAAGCCCTGCATGAACTTTTTGAATGTTGATTTTTATATTTTTATCCAGGCATATTTTCTCATCAACATCTCCTAAACATTATTACATATATTAAAAACTAAATTGCTTATACTTAAAATGTTTGTAAGTAAAGCAAAATACCTATACTCGATAATATGCAATTTTAGTGTATTATGTAATTTTAGATTGATTTGTATACAAAGGATAACTATAGTACTAGGCATCATAAACTGTGATCCTCTAAATATGTGCTAGTACTGACTTCCTTAGAATAATTTTCTCCTGTTGCTATATTTATAAAATTAAGACCTTGGCTATTCCATATTGTGCACAGAGCCATAAAGTGAAAGAGTCCTTAGAGTTTGTCTCTTTAGACTTTTTGTTTTACCAGATAAGGAAATTAGCCAAATTAATTAACAATCTGCACCTGGAACCTCTCTCATTGTCAACTTAGAGTTGTTTATTCTGAACTGTACTATCTTTTTAGGTTGCTTCTATTGTAAGAAGCTTATTTTTTTTAGTAATTCTGTTTATAATATGCACATTACAATACAGGAAGTACAGTGCTCTTTTGTTTAATAATATACTTTTTAAACTGCATGCTTGAATGACAGAAATGTTATAATAATTAAATGAGTTGTAATAATTACTTATAATAAATCATTTTTTTCTTTTATTAATTTAGATGTAAACAGTGTTCTAGTTTGAGACCAATACAGAATCTGAATTCCCTGGTTGATAAAACATCGTGGATTCCTTCCTCTGTGGCAGAAGGTAAGCTAAGTTTCTGTGTCCTGTCATTGTAACTGTCTTTGTATAACGTGATCTCACTGAGAATATTTCAGTATTTGTGGATATTGTAAAACCAGAGCAAAGGCTGAACTAAAGTTTAATTGTCCTTAAGTATAACCATTCACAGTGGTCATAATAAAAGTATAAATGTTTAAAATAATTGAAAACTTACTTTCAAGCATCTGCCAATGTTTTTCAATTATTACATTTTAATAATTTAGTAATCATAAGTACAACTTGTGAATAATCTCTCCAGTTTATAGTATCTTGGGATTGAAAAGAGTTGTAGAGATAGCTATTACAACTTTTTACCCAATACAAGTCTTTAGCTGGAGCAACAAGAATCTTTTTATATCACGTTATTAACTGTGGTCATCCAGCCTTGGCTTAAAACTCTTCAGTGACTGGGGACTCATTACATTGCAAGGTAACGTATCTTACTTTTTAGGTGCAGTACTTAACAGTGAGGCAAAATCTGCTTACCTGTAATTTTAACATGGGCCACATTCTGTGTACTAGAATTAAAGTACATCTGTTCCCTCTTCTATAAAGTCAACAAACTGTACATTTGAAGATAATCTGTCAAGTTTTCATTGAGTCTTTATTTCTCCAAGCAGGTACCCTCACTTCCTTTGGTACTTTCCCACATTCCTTACTATTTTATTTCTCCTCTTCAGTAAACATTCCATTTTACTAATGTTCTTCTCAAAGTTTGGTCCTCAAAGCTAGAAATAGAGCTGCAGGTGTTGGCCAATTCAGAATATGAAGAAAACCTTTATTTACCTAAGACTGGATACTGCTCCTACTTGCCTGAAAATTTTATTCTGTAGATATTTATTTGTATACTTGGTTTTGTTTCCTTTCTCTTTTAATCCAGCTATATAATACTGCTAACTCATATTTTGTTTGTGGTCCAGTGAAATTCCAGGTTACTTTTGCATGAGCTTCTTACTGTGTGCTTCAGGCTTGGTCTCCTCATCCTGTACTAAATGTAGTTTTTTGTTTGCTTATATGGTCCCTCGGGGTAGGTTTTATGTTCATCCTTCTTGGTTTTAGCTCACAGTTTATGCCTGTCGAGAACTTCTGAATCTTAAAAATCAATTCCTCTGTATTAGCAATTTCTCTCATGTCTGTATGCCCTAATTTATTTGTTTTAGTTGCTCCCTTTATTACTGAATATGGATTCCACAAATGGAAGACAATATTCCATTATATAAGCATATTGAATGTCTTCCATTTCCAGACACAAAGTAAGATGTTCATTTTAACCTGTAAATTTTCCTGATTTAGCATCTCTTTAATTTCTTCCTTTTTCCTCATCTTACCAAATTATGAAATCTCAGATTCTCACATCATTCAACCAGACGATATCTCTTAAAAAATAATCGATCCCTATGCTTAAAATACAAAGGAGAGAGACATGTTAAAAAAATCCTAACTATCGAACTGTATGCTTTTCTGAATTGCCTTTCATGAATTGGTTTTTATGTTTTTTATCAAGATCAACTCATTTTAAAGATAATGCTGTATTGATATTTAATTTAAAAAAGATACTATTGCTCATGAGTCATTATCCCTATACAGGTGTAGTGTAATGTTCCAAAATTACCCTTCTAAAATTAGCTTAATATATTGGTATTAGAGAAGAGAAAGGGATAAGTTTTTTTAATCTCTTGAGTTATTTTAGTAAACAAGACTAACAGGTATCTAATATCATAAAACAATTTTTTCTTTACTTTGATTAAGGCATAGGAGATTCATATGGTTTCAACTTTTTTCCTTCATTAGTACTGGGTATTGTACCTCTCCAACATGTGTTTGTGATGACATTTACTCTTGACGATGGAACAGGAGTACTGGAAGCTTACCTCATGGATTCTGTAAGTAATAGAGGTAGTGAAGATACTTCTAATTAAAAAATAGTACTTTTTAAAATTTTAATATATTTATTCATGCATACTTTGTTACTGAGGAGATTTAAGGCAACTCTGAAAAATAAATAAAAGACAAGCACATAAATCTTAAATTGTCTATGTATTTATCTCTCTTTTGATTTGACACTGTAAATCTTAATATGTGAATAATGAAAAATTGAGGAAGTTCTATTCCAGGAGCCAAAGGCAGAGGTATGGCCACCCCCTCCGGCATTATCTATTAGCATTTCACTGGGCTTTTTAAGCCTCCACATTTCGTATTAGAGAGAATGAAATTACTCTGTTAGGGAGATAGTTATATGTGAAGCTAGGTAGCTGTCCACAAGACCACCTTCATTTCTGACAGTACCATGTTTGGAGGTTCCCAAGACCACCCTTACTTCTGGCACCAGTTGAAAGTTCAGAGGTCCCCAAGAGCACCCTTAGTTTTGATAATTCGCTAGAAGGACTCACAGAACTTATTGAAAGCTATTATGCTCACTGTTAACAATTTATTACAGCTAAAGGATATAGGTTAAAATCCTCAAGGGAAGAGGTGCATAGGGCAGAGTCCAGGAAAGTTTCTAACATGGAACTTCCGTTTGTTCTCTTCCCATGGAGTAGTGGACAGTGTTACTTTCCTGGAAATGGTATGTAACAGTACACATGAGGTATTGCCAACCAGGGAAGTGCAGCTGAGCCTTAGTGTCCAGAGTTTTTTTTGGAGCTTCATCATGTAGTCATGGTTGGCTGCCCATGTGACTGATCTCAATCTTCAGCCCCTCCAGTGGTCAAGTTAAAACCACATGCTCCAAACTCCCCACCCTAAATCACAATGTTAGAGTGACCCAGGGTCTCCAGGCAAAAAAGAATACTCCTATGAGGCATGACATTCCAAGGGCTTAGATTACCTCTCAGAAACCTAGGGCAAAGGCCAATGAGGTTAAATTTTTTACTACACACATTGGGAAAAATCTGGGTTAAGGTTGAGGACAGTTTTTCTCCTGCCTAAATAAATTATTTATCCATTTATTAAATAAGTATTTAATGAGCACTTACTGTATGCCAAGTGCTACTCTTTGTGATGGGGATATAGCAATGAGTGAAACAAGCAAACTCCTTTCCCTCCTGGAACTTATAAATAGGAGAGGAGAAAAAAAAATTAAATAAATATATACTATATATTAAACTCTTTTAAACTTAACACTTAGACATTGTAGGTGCTCAATACATATGCTCTCAAGAGAATAGTAAGCCTCACTGTATTCTAATCATTCTTATCATTAAGTCAGAGTGGTTTAACTTGATTTTATATATATGTATCATAGCTGTTTTTAGATTAAAGTAGTAAATCAGATTTTAGAGTTTAGACTAGCACTCTAGTTTATGAATTCTACGATATTGATATGGTGAAATAGTCGAGATTATTTTAATTAGATAATATTCAAATAATTTTGTATTGATTATAGCTTCTGACGAAGATAAAGATCATTTCCTTGTTTCTTCATATTTTTCTTAAGGAAAAATTTTTCCAGATTCCAGCATCAGAAGTCCTAATCAAAGATGGCCTTCAGCAAATTATGGATATGATCATGGATATGTTTTGTCCTCCAGGATTAAAAATTGGTAGGCAGTAATACTTAACAATCCATTCATTCTTTTCCTTGAAATAATACCTAGCATATGGCTAAGTGGACTTTTAGAGGTATAAAAACTTTGAAATCTGAATCCAAATAAATTACTAAGTGATTGTTTATACTGTATGATCTACTGATCTACCTACTGATGAAGATAGTGGCAGGGATAAAATAGGTATGAATCATAATTCCTGAAATGAAAAAAGTTTTTTAAAATAGTTTGAAATATTGATATAACAAGGGGGAGGCAATTTTGATCACAAGCACATTTGATATGATGCTTATGCATACAAACAGTTGAAATTAAACCAACAGGGATGAAATTTTGACAGGAAACATTTCCTATAACAAACTCATTTAGCCTGTTTAATTCATTGATAAATTGTCTATTCAATATTAACTAGTTTCAGATTTTACAAGTTTTTATTTTACTAAATATTTTTGTCAGCTTTAGTTGTTTTCTGTGTAACATTTGATTCATCAACCAGTCTTCAGGTCAAATTGTATTGATTACACCTACTGCCACTGATTTTTCCTTTTGTGGCCATTATTTCTCTTTGCATTGAAACTTGCAGATCTAAGTCATTTTAAGATAACTTGACTTCTAACAATTTTTCATCAGTAACAAATTTTACCACCTGCAGATCTAGCTGTTGTCAGTTTAACGTTTATAGGTTATTTTAAGTCAGGTTTTATTTTTCCCTGGTCAGTCTTTGCATTTTATAACAATTCCAAAAAGATAGTTTTTGTACATCCATAACTAAGTCTAACTTACATACTTTTATATGATGTCAGCTTTTATTTTTGTTGGCTGCTTGGATTCTTTTGGATAAATTTCTGCAAATAAAACTGCCATATCGGGGCTTCCCTGGTGGCGCAGTGGTTGAGAGTCCGCCTGCCGATGCAGGGAACACGAGTTCGTGCCCTGGTCCGGGAGGATCCCACATGCTGCGGAGCGGCTGGGCCCGTGAGCCATGGCCGCTGAGCCTGTGTGTCCGGAGCCTGTGCTCCGCAGCGGGAGAGGCCACAACAGTGAGAGGCCCGCGTACCGCAAAAAAAACACAAAAAACTGCCATATGAAAAAGCATAGACCTGATAGGCTTTTGCTACATACGGCCAGATTGCTTTTCAAGAGCATTTTACCTGTTTATGGTTCTACCAGCAGTGTAGGAGAGTGCCTGTCTTGCTTGACCCTTGCCAATAGTGAGGACTATATTAAATGTCTTTCAAATTCAAACTTCAAGAAATGTTAACAGACTGTTCGAGAAGTTATAAACAGATTTACTGTGGTCATGACCAAAGCTTGGCTGCCAACATTGCCTGGACACAACACCTGGTACCTGACGGGAATTTCAACTAGACAGATATAAGGGCGACCTGGTTTCTTTGCAGTCAACCAAGAAAAACAAAACGGGCAGATCAGTAAGTGATAAGCAGAAAAAAAAGAATAAATGTTGGGAATGACGTAGATTACTACCTTTGCTATCAAATATTTTGAAAACCCCACATTTAATGACTTTTTCCTGTTGTTGGGGAAAAATTCAAATTAGTCAGAATTGCTACAAAACCATAACATGAATCCAGTGTGTATTTGGAAGAGCAGATAATGGTAAATGTGGTGAGTGTATTTATTTACTTTTCAAGCTAAATTAAATATGTTGATTTTACTAGCTAAGCATTATGCTTAGATACATATTTCAGAGTTATCTGTTTAGTTTTGATGGTTAAATAGCATTTCTTTTTTTGATTTGTAGATGCATATCCATGGTTGGAATGCTTCATCAAGTCATATAATGTCACAAGTGGAGCGGAGCAGCAAATTTGCTATCAGATTTTTGACACCACAGTTGCAGAAGATCTTATCTAATTTTGACATTCAACTTACCATAGGTAACATGCTATAATTTTGGAAGACATTACTATTTTCTATGCGATTGCTATAAAAGACATAAGAGATTTTAGCTCTGTAGTTTTCCATTTTAACCAGTATTTAAAAATTTTTTGACAGATAGGCATTGTGTTATCTTAATGCCCTCTTATAAGTTAAAAATGTTCCTGTTGCTCAAAATATTCAGTATGATGGCTGTGAGGGATATAAAAGAGAGACATCGAATAAATAAGGACTGTGTTTTCATTTACTCTTTACTCTCCTCCTTTCGGAGAAGCTATTTTGTTACCCTACCCTAGAAGTCACTCTCCCTATTGGTTTTTCCATGTATCAGCCACTGATTTCTCTGCCATCTATCATGCCTGGTTGAGCTGCTTTTTCTGCCCTGATTTTTATATCAGCAATTTGGGTGATTTTAGCATGTATATGGGATTAGGAAATGTCCTTACCTTAAATCTTCCACTCTTACTGAGCACAAGGATTTGATCTGTTTTGTTTTCATGCAAAGGGATCTGCTTGAACAAGTACTCTTGAAGAAGTGCTTGTCTGAGTGAGCTACAGTGTGCTTGAAAAGAGTGATTTGCTTTAAGTGGGAGTAGCAGAATTGCTTTCTTTGGGTGCTGACTTTGACCAATTGAGGATAAATCCATTTTTTCAGACCTGAATTATGTGCTTTGATTGCTTGTTTCTCTACATGATATTAGAAGTTATTCCATTCCTCCTCAACCTAATCAAGTGGTCAGATCTGCAATGTTAGTGACTTAGGTATGTTACCCTTTTTGTTAGGGTCTTATGTAAAATATACTTAAATTTCAGGTTGAACATTGAATGAGAAATTAACTCAGTATGATAGTCTGCTTTTTACCTGATGATATTTGTCAAATTTAAAATCATGAATATTCAGTTTTATACAAATGCTTCTGTATATTTATATATATGTAAAGATTTATGTATGTTATTTCCTGAAGACTGAGAGATACAGATCTGCCTAGTTCAATATTAGTGAAGAATAAATAAATGTACACATTTCAACTGTTTCGTTTATTTGCCCTATGTTGAGCTGAGGCATGATTTGAGGTGAAGAATCAAAGCAAGTGTGTCAATATAGCAGATATTTAGGACTGTCTACACACCAGGTACAATACTAAGTAAGCCCTTAACATGTATTTTAGTTTCAAAACAACCCATCATCCTGATAAGAAAACTAAGGTTTCACTGATAAGCTGACTTGACCAAATGCATACAATTATTAAACGCCAGTCAGCACTTGAATTCAGGTAGTCTCTGCTCAGGGGCTGCACTGTTAGCCACTTCAGGCCTCTGGAGCAAAAGCTGGTACGGGATTTTCTGCAAGTGAATTCTCCCTTAAATATCTGAAGTAATATCACAGATAGAACCAAAAGGCTTTTCACACCTTACTGGCCAAAAGGATTGAATATCTGATTTTCTCTGCTCACAATAATTCTAAATTCGAATTCCTGAGTATATTAGCACATCTCCAGACCTAACTACCCATCTGCCCCATCGCTGAATTATCAGCTTGTTCAAGACAATGAAAGAGACCAATGCTGCTGTTTTGGAGATGTACACTCTTGGTTCAAAACATATTCAAGGAAAAACTTTTAAGAAATGTTTTAAGAAAATTTTGGTATTGGTGGTATGCTAGGGACACAAAAGTGAGAGAGGCATTTTCACTTCCTTCGGGAAGCACCCAGTCTAGGAGAGTAAGGGTCAGAGGTGCAGGGAGTGCCACACGTGTCAGCCTGTGCTGTCTGCCAGTTAATAAAGTAAAACTATGAATTTTCACGATTTCTCTTTACCTTTTGTTTTGGTTAGTAAACCCCTACATTTTTGTTTTTAACTTTTCAGTTTTGAACAAGAAGCGTTTGTCAGCCCCTAGTGTTTATCCAGTGGTGATGTATGTGCCTTACCCTAATCGGGAACCCAAGTGTAAGGGGAGTTCCATTTCTGTAGCAACAACTAGATGATAGTCCATCCTGCCCAATTTTGAGCCCTGTCCCCTTTGTAGTCTGTGAATATTGGTAGAATCTTCCTGTCAGATTTTAAATTACACAAATTTAAGAATGTAGTATGCATACAGCTTCTTCCTCAGTCTCCAGTCTCCACAGCATCCATTGTTTCAGACACTACTGGATTCTCTTGAGGCCCCCATGCTGTTCTGTATGAGGAAGAGAGCGCATGTCTTAGAAAATCTGAGGCAGCCGATTCCTCTTTATCTAGATGTGATAATGAAAAGTGCTCACAGGCTCTTTCTGTGGCCACCTCATACTGCTTTATTTGAGGGAACTACACCTGCCGAGAAGGAGTGCATCATTCCCCATTTCGTTTTACCCTGGTCATGTTGCACATTGGGTGTTGTTTCTAAATAAATAGAGAAAGGCCAGTGTTGATGGAACAGAAGGAGCTGAATACATCTTTGACTACCTGGGAAAGCAGTCTCCACACAATACTGGCTGCCCGGTTTTCAAATCTGTAGATCCTGTACCCAAGCTACTTGCACACACAGGAATGGGCCAAAATCTTTCTCCTGCCTGTTCCCCAGCTGACTGTTCTTTTGTTTCTGAAGTCAAAGCATGCATTTGTCACTAATTGTGACTCTCAATCCAGCCAATCTCTTCTATACTCTGTGGAAGCTTTCATTGGTATCTGGGGAAAATGCTACATTCTTCTGATTATTTTCAGTATTTTGAATTTTGACCATGCATTTCATCAAGTTTTGTTTTCATCTAGAATTTTTTTTTAATGAAAGTGATATGTACTTGTAAGAATTTGAAACAGCATAAAGTATATAAGGTTGAACTAATTCGTGCTTTAACTAGTACCCCAGAGGAAACCACTTTTAACAATTTGGTGTATAATTTTCCAGACTGTTTTCCTGGAGAACATGTAAGTATGTGTATATATACATTTTTTTAAATAGCATTATGCTATGAATATATTTTGCAACTTGCCTCTGTCACTTCATAGAGTGGATTTTGTTTTTTTATGTCAGTACACATAGAGAAACTTGTTTGTAATCATTCAGCATAAGTCACTTTTTAGTGGGGAATTCTCCTATCATTTCATTTTCTATTTTTGTAGTGGTTTGGGGTCTAAGTGTTCTTCTTATGCCAATTTTGGAATTTTATATTTTTATAGAACGTATTCTGTTGTTGACTTTATTACCTTATAGTTATTCATAATATTATTTTTATTACCCAGTTTGTATTTTATCTGGTGTATTTTCCCTTTAAATAAATCTGGAGCCCCTGGGACCTGGTTTCACTATATCTCCTGGAGTTTTTCAAGTGATCGGAATTTTGAAAGTCTGTCCAGACTTCCTAATACAGGTTAGGACGCTGCCATGACGTAACTGTCTTGAAATATTCTTTTATGCTTTAAAGAACTCATTGTGAAAAGAATTATGTTAATATAAAAAAGGAAAACGCCTCCTGTAGTGCTTTTCATTAGGAAATTCAGGTTCTATGAACGATACGATGAGTCACACTCAAGTTCTAGAACATCATTTTAGGTGAAATAAAAAAACTTCTTCCTCTGCTGGTCCCTCAGTGTCTCCGGATAGTGGCAAAGCCTCCCACCCACTCTAGAAAGAGGGGAACTAGACAGCTTGTAAAATCTGGGCAGAGCGATCTTTCTTCTCTTCCCTCGGGTACTTGGAAATAGTATCGGAACTCACCAGCGTGCTCAGGTATGTGAGATCATATCTTTTGGCAGTCAGGAAATGAATCAGTAGCCCTGTGTATTATTTTTCCCTGCAGTGTTGTGATTTAAGCTGTTAGAAAGTTTGAGATCACTTAGGCTTTCAAAGCGATGATCATTTTACATGGAGATTAATGGCCCTTCCATTCAGGGCTGCATTTGACGGGTAGAGAACTATTAGGCATCAATTACAATGATAAGGGTAATGCATCAGTGTCCTGATGCTCCCTCAGATGTGCTGATTGGTGCAACGTGGATAGTTCAGAGACGCCTCTGCTATTTTTAGACCATAACAACATCCTGATGAATGTCTGTTTTTTTCCCCTTGAAATCTAGGCCACAAAGTCACATTTGTATTTATGTGCATGTGTGTGTGTGCGCGCGTTTGTTCTCTGCTTTGAGTTCACTTTGCAGGGCACTATGTTGGAATTTACCTGACAACCTCGTCCACAACTGCCAAAGAAAGACATTTGCAACTTGTGTGAAAGTTTCTTTTATTTCATCTATTCACAATACTTTGAAGATGTGGAGCATGTGTTTATTGAAGCCTTATCTCTATTAATAAAATATTCCATCAAATATTGTTGCAGTTTCTAAACAGGTACCTTTTCATATACAACCCTGAAGCCCTGGTATATACCTTTATTATTTTTTTTCCTGTACCTTCAGAATGATTTTTCCCTTCTGTGAAATATGAACTCCCAGATAAAAGCCGATTTGTCTTTACATATAACTCCATTCCTCAGCAGATTTTTGTCCTCCCTTAGAGGGCAAAGTCCTTCTAGATTTTCTCTTGCCAAGTTTAGCTACCTCATAAATGATTTTCTGTCCCAAGCTGCCGTTAGAGTTCATAGGAAAGGTAACATTTAAAAATCACAATTGTTGGAGTCAGATGAAAATATTGCTTGTGATAGATAGGCATGGTTGTGGTTTTATGGGGTTGGATAGGAAGTCCTATGTGCTTATTCCCCATTAGATGGGGTTCTCGAATGATAAACTTGCCCTTAAATTTTGGAATCATTAACAAATATTTCTGCACAATGATCAAAGCTTAAATGGAGGTTAAGATAAAGAATACAGAGTACAGAATAGGCACTTAAAAGTCAGCTCATACATTCATTTATAATTCATACTGTGTCTATCCAGAAAGAGTTGGATGTGGTTTATAATAAAAGACGGACATGGGACACAACCTTTAGAATTAGGGCAAGAAGACAGGAGCTAAATAAAGAGAAGAGCAATTCCTAACCTATGGGCTACTACAGGTTTTGAACAATACTTCTACATGAAGATGCAACAGGTTACATAGTTCTTATTAAATAACAAGAATGATGTTATTAGATACAAACCTTTTATTAGTCTCAATTTTAAGACAAGGTGGATTTTTAAAAATGTGAAACAACAAGTTTTGAATTAATAGTACTTGAAACTTGATCCAAAATGGTGAGAGAGGTAAGCTCTGCAAATGGAAGAAATAAAGCAGGGAATTTCCCATTGGCTATCCACCTTTTGGCTTTTATATGAGACACTTTTTTTGGTTTGTTTTGTTATTAGTGATTAAAGTGTTTCAAATACCTATGCATATTCAAGAATTATTAGAAGCATTAATGAATTACCACAGGAGAAAAAAAATTCCCTTCAGATGCAAATATCACTGAGAAAATGAGCTCTTTTTACCTTTTTCTTTTCTAGTTGCAGGTAATGAAATAAAAGAGATGTCTTGTATTCAATGTTTCATGTCAGGAAGAATATGGGTTTTAATGAATCTCAGTCCTTAGGAAGATAATATGCTCCAGTATTTCACCTTCAGTGGTCCAGGGAAGGTATTGCTTTAGTCATAAGTAAAACAAGCTTCACACTGGTGCCCAACTGGGAATTTGCTGGGAGAGTATTTTATCTACACCAGATTTACTAAGCACTAACTGCCCAAACATGAGATCTACTCATCTTGATTCCTCTCTTTCATTAACAGCCCACAGCCAATCCACTTGAAAAATCATCATAGATCGCTCTTTAAAGTTCATCCAGAATCTGACTACTACTTAGCACCTCCTCTGCTACCATGCTGGCCATGCAACCATCTTCTGCCTTGACTACAGCCATATCTCCCCAACTGGCCTTTCTGCTTCCACAATTTCTGCACATGGAATATTCTGCATACAGCAGCCGGACTGATTGATTGAAACGTAAGGCCAATACCATCATTTCCCAGTGCTCTCTAATGTCACCCAGTGAGCTTACCATGGCCTTCACCGCCCAACGCGAGCCACTTCCTTACTACCTCTCTGACATCTTTTACTATTACATTTTTCTTCCCACGCCTCTCCACTGGTCCCCTTGTTTGTGTACCAGGCAGTCTCTCCCTTCATGGACTTTGTAACTTGATGTTGTTACTTTAGTCTGGACATTGTTGAACTCTTCCAGGTTCCTTGTTTCCCACCTCCCCCCACCCCGCCCCCCGATCCTCTGTAACATATAAGGTTAGGCCTTCCTAACCTTATGGGAAGGCCTCCTCTGATCATGTAAAGACCACTCTACCCCATCATGCTTCATTCCCCACCCCTGACTTAATTTTCTCTATTGCACTTATCCATCTGACATCGTTTTACTATTTCATACTGTTTCGCTTTCCTAAAGAAAAATGAGCTCCTTAGAAACAGGGAGTTTTATTTGTTCACTGCTATTTACCCAGTGCCTAGAAGTTCCTGGCATATAATAGTTGCTTAGTAATATTCCTAGAACCAACAAAATATTTGAGACTCAAAATCTGACAATACTAGAATTTATTAGCACCTAAAGTGATACTAGCATTTAAAGGGATTTCTGGCACGCAGAAATTTGCATTTAAAAATAAAACCTAGGGACCTTCAAGATGGCAGAGGAGTAAGATGTGGAGATCAACTTCCTCCCCATAAATACATCAAAAATACATCTACATGTGGAACAACTGCTACAGAACACCTACTGAACGCTGGCAGAAGACCTCAGACCTCCCAAAAGGTAAGAAACTCCCCACGTACCTGGGTAGGGCAAAAGAAAAAAAGAAAAAACAGAGACAAAAGAATAGGGACGGGACCTGTACCAGTGAGAGGGACCTGTGAAGGAGGAAATGTTTCCACACACTAGGAAGCCCCTTCGTGGGCGGAGACTGCAGGGGGCGGAGCGGGGAAGCTTCACAGCCACGTAGGAGAGTGCAGCAGCAGGGGTGCGGGGGGCAAAGTGAAGAGATTCCCGCACAGAGGATCGGTGCCAACTGGCACTCACCAGCCCGAGAGGCTTGTCTGCTCCCCCGCCGGGGTGGGCGGGGATGGGAGCTGAGGCTCGGGCTTCGGTCGGAGCGCAGGGAGAGGACTGGTGTTGGCAGCGTGAACACAGCCTGCAGGGGGTTAGTGCGCCACGGCTAGCCAGGAGGGAGTCCGGGAAAAGTCTGGACTTGCCCAAGAGGCAAGAGACCATTGTTTTGGGTGCACAAGGAGAGTGAATTCCTTCCCTGTGTGGCCACAGAAGGCAGAGCACCAACTAAATGAGCTCCAGAGACGGCGTGAGCCACGGCTACCAGTGCGGACCCCAGAGACGGGCATGAGACACTAAGGCTGCTGCTGCTGCCACCAAGAAGCCTGTGTGCGAGCACAGGTCACTATCCACACACCCCTTCCGGGGAGCCTGTGCGGCCCGCCACTGCCAGGGTCCCGGGATCCAGGGACAACTTCCCCGGGAGAACGCATGGCGCACCTCAGGCTGGTGCAACGTCACGCCAGCCTCTGCCGCCGCAGACTTGCCCCGCATCCATACCCCTCCCTCTTTTACGGCCTGAGTGAGCCAGAGCCCCCGAATCACCTGCTCCTTTAACCCCGTCCTGTCTGAGAGAAGAACAGACGCCCTCCAGTGACCTACACGCAGAGGCGGGGCCAAATCCAAAGCTGAGCCCCGGGAGCTGTGAGAACAAGGAAGAGAAAGGGAAATCTCTCCCAGCAGCCTCAGGAGCAGCGGATTAAAGCTCCACAATCAGCTTGATGTATCCTGCATCTGTGGAATACCTGAATAGACAACGAATCATCCCAAATTGAGGAGGGGGACTTTGGGAGCAACTGCAGACTTGGGGTTTGCTTTCTGCATCTAATTTGTTTCTGGTTTTATGTGTATCTTAGTTTAATATTTAGTGCTTATTATCATTGGTGGATTTGTTTATTGGTTTGGTTGCTCTCTTCCTTTTTTTTTTAATGTATATGTAAATATATATTTTCTCCTTTTTGTGAGTGTGTATGTGTTTGCTTCTTTGTGTGATTTTGTCTGTATAGGTTTGCTTTTACCATTTGTCCTAGGGTTCTGTCTGTTTGTTTTTTTTGTTTTTGTTTTTTTTTCTTCCTTTTCTTCTGAGCTGTGTGGCTGGCAGGGTCTGGGTGCTCCAGCCGGCTGTCAGGCCTGAGCATCCAAGCGGGGAGGGCCGAGTCCAGGACACTGGACCACCAGAGACCTCCCCGCCCCACGTAACATCAATTGGCGACAGCTCTCCCAGAGATCTCCATCTCAACACTAAGACCCAGCTCCACCCA